GGCGCGGAGCCGGTGGCCTGCTGACTCCACCTGGTCCCACAGGAGCGACCCCCCCAAGCTCAACGCCTTCATCATGGACAAGTCGCTCCTGGACTATGAGGTCTCCATCGACGCCGACTGCAAATTGCTGACCGTGGGCAAGCCTTTCGCCATCGAGGGTGAGGGCATGGGAGGGGTCGCGCCCGTGGAGAGCCACGGGGGCGCCAGGGGGCAGGGCCAGGTCGGACATGCTGGGTACAATTTCCGGGGGCCGTGTCCCGGCCCGCTCCCCCAGGCTACGGCATCGGCCTGCCCCAGAACTCCCCGCTCACCTCCAACCTGTCCGAGTTCATCAGCCGCTACAAGTCCTCGGGGTTCATCGACCTGCTCCACGACAAGTGGTACAAGATGGTGCCTTGCGGGAAGCGGGTTTTCGCGGTTACTGAGGTGAGGCAGGACCCCGGAGTGCGTGACAGCTTAGCGGGCGAAGCGCTCGACCCCTGCTCAACCCCCAGATGTCCATCTGCGTTGGTGCCCTTCCTACACCCCCTCCGCGAGCCCTCACGTGCGCCCAGCCTGGCTCTGGCGCCACGTGAGGACTCCCCAGCTTTCGTGGCGTGGCGGTGAGAGGATCCTGTGTCCTGCTGCAGACCCTCCAGATGGGCATCTACCACTTCTCGGGTCTCTTCGTGCTGCTCTGCCTGGGCCTGGGCAGCGCCCTGCTCAGCTCGCTGTGCGAGCACGTCTTCTTCCGCCTGGTGCTGCCGCGCATCCGCAGGGGCAGCAGGCTGCAGTACTGGCTGCACACCAGCCAGGTGAGGGCCGTCGGTGCGTGGGCACAGCAGGGACAGCACCTGCCGCAGACCCTACCACCAACGGGGCTTGTCTGGGATCTTAGAAAATTCACCGGGCTCTCAACACAGACCGGCCGGAAGGGCAGAGGGAGAGGCTGGAGCCAGAGCCCAGGTAAAGAACAGCTGCGCCTGCCAGCAGGGACCCCGACGTGGGGGGGGTGTCTCTTCACATACTTTCAGGCCTTGTCGAAGGCCCCTTCACAAGTCCTCGCACCCCCGGATGGCAGAGGGCGGCGGCTGCCTGGGTTCATTTACCTAGCCCTGTCCCATCCCCAGTGGCTCGGAGCAGCAGCAGGAGCAGCAGGACACCTCAGCTTACCCCGAGGGTCCAGGGCGCTGGAAACGAGTGCGCCGGGCTGTGGGCAAGGAGCGTAGGGTGCGCTTCCTGCTGGAGCCAGGGATGGCAGGCGCCCAGGGAGGGGCGGAGGCGGAGCCTGGGACCCCTGAAAGCCCAGTCTGGATTTGTTCCAACGGGCCACCGCCCACTGCCGCGCCAGCGACCTCACCGAGTGGCGAGCTGGAAGAGCTGGAGCGGCACATAGAGGCCGTCCGCGAAAGGCTCCGAAGAGCTCTGATGCAGCGTGGGGAGCTCCTAGTTCGACTTGGGGACGGCGCTCGCCACCGGCCACTGCGCCTGCTCCAAGCCCAAGCCGCACCTGAGGACGCCCCGTGATCCAATGCTGGATAAGATCCAGCTGCAGACCCCTCCCCCGCGCACATGCGAGTGCAGACCATACCCTGTTCACGGAGTTTATTCTATATACAAACACAATTTTGTACACTGCAATTAAATAGAATGGAATGAGCGCTGCTCTGCATTCCTCACCGAGTGATTGGCTTGGCCGCCTGGCCCACTCCCGCCCTGAGCACGGCTGGACCCTGGCACCCCAGGCACTGATGTTGGCACCTGTGCCCCAGACACAGCTCTGCCCTCTTGGGGACCCCAGGCCTGGTGCACACGGGGAGGGTCAGCCGTGGAGAAGGCACTGCACAGGGAGCACCAGGCAGGGCTGGGCCCGACCGCCCCTTTGAAGCTGCCCAGCCCACTCCCATCTGGTTACCTTGTTCAGACCTGCCCGACCGGTGCCCTGCGCTGCCCCTGGAACGGTGCACTCCAGACCTCGCACCAAGCCCCCTTCAGAACGTGCGGGAGCCCTCGACCCCTGTCCTCACAGACCACCACAAACAAGCTCACTACCGGGACAAGCCTGGGCCAGGCCCCACACTTGGGAGACAGGGACCCACCTTCCACAAACCTGATGAAACCCCAATCGGAGCGAAGAGGCAACCCAGGGGGGAGGGCCCTGGTGCCCCACGAGGACAACCTGCCCCGCCCCGAGGGGCTGCTGCAAGGTGCCCAATAGCTCCCCAGGGGGAGGCCCTGACAGGCGGCTCAGCTGTTGGTGGGGGCTCAGGACCCAACCTCGGAGGGTGCCTCTCCTGGGACCGTGGATGCAGGGCTGGGTTCAGCCCCCATGTCTGTGGCAGAGGCTGTGTCAGGTGCCACGGGGTCACTCTGGGGAGCACTGTCCTGGGGGGCATGGGAGAGTCCTCCACTGGGGCTCAAGGGTCCAGCGGGCCTCCGCTCCAAGAGGGAGGCACTCAAGCCGGACAGGAAAGAGGCGTCCGTGATGATGGCTGCTGTCTCTGCCATCCAGCCCAGGTCACCCCCAGTGGCCGCGGCTACGGAGGCGGCTACAGCCCCCAGTGAACTGGGAGCTGCAGCCCCGGGCCCAGGCCCCCCAGCAGCTGCAGTCGAGCCAGGGCCCAGAGCAAGGGGCTGGCCTGTAGGGCCGGGGGCGGCCGCCTGGGGGCCTGAGTTGTTGTTGAGGTCCTCGGGCAGTGCTGTGGGGGCCCCGGGGCCCAGGGGCGGCGCCTGCAGCAGCAACTCCTGGATGCGGACCTGCTGCAGGATGGCGGGCAACTCGTAGTGGTGGAAGAAGTAGATCATGGAGTGCTGCGGGCAGACGGCAGGGTCAGCCCACAGCCACACCAGATTGGAGCTGGAAGACCCTGCCCACACTGGAGCCGGGTGGGGGGGCCTCTGTCCACACTACAACCCAGGAAAGGCCCCTTTGCTGCCCACCTTGACTCACTGGGAAGAAAAATGAGTTACTGGGACCAGTCCACCCAGAGAACTCCAAAGCAGGGAAAGCTGGGTGGTACAGGGGCCCACACTGCCCTCTGCCCAGGCTCAGCCCTCCTCAAAGGTGTGCCCCACCTGGATGAACAGCCAGGAGGTGACCAGGGCCAGGCTGCTGTACTGCCCATTGAAGCGGTAGTGGTACGCGTAGAAGGCGAAGTGGTACAGGTAGAAGAACCTGGGGGGTGGGGGGCAGGCAGTGAGCTGAGGAAGCCGCCATGCTGACCCCAGGACCCTGTGGGTCGGGGCCCAGCTCACCGCAGCCAATGACGCTTGCTCGTGTTGGTGTGGCAGCAGATGGCGTCATACTGGTCAGCCAGCCACACGATAAGGATGATGTAGAAGGCCGTGGTGGTGTCGTTGAAGAACTCAGACATGATGGCCTCCATCCCTGCAGGGACAGGTGGCGCCAGGTTGGAGTGGGTGGGGAGGGTGTGGGACGGGGGATGCCGGGGAGGGTCCTCACCAACGAGGGCCAGGATGACCGTCAGCAGGGGCGCTGCAGGGAAGGCGATGGCCATGTTCATCTCCAGCATCTGCAGCAGGTCCACTGCGGGCACAGGGTGCGGGGGCCACCCGTGAGGGCCTGGGGGCGAGCCCGCCCCGCCCCCCGCGGCCGGCTGAGACTCACCGATGAAGACGAAGATCTGGTGGTGGGAGTATCGGAGCAGCATGGAGACGCTGAGGGTCTGCAAATGAGGCCCACGCACGTCAGGGGCTGTCCCTGTGGTCCCGCCAGCAGGCTCCCGCCCTCCCTCAAAGCCCTGCAGCACTCACGAAAATGACCATGATGACGAAGGCGGCCAGGTAGGACGTGCGGGCCATCCACATACTGACGAAGCGGTAGTGCTCCCCAGATACCACATTCCGCAGGAAGCCTGGGGGCGCGGCAGTGAGCGCAGGTGCTGCCCAAACCCCTCCCGCCACCCCCCACACCCCACGGGGCCCACCCTTGTTCTCCTCATTCTCTGCCAGGCCCTTCACGCTGGACATGAGGATGTCATCGTAGCCCAAGAACTCATCCAGGAGGAGGCGGCTGAAGCGGTCTCCAAAGCACTGGTCCCGTGTGGGGTCTGTGGGTGGGTAAGGATCAGGGTGGACCAGCCTCTGAGGGCCTGCTGGGATGGAGGCTCTCCCTGGGAAGGCGGGCCCACCCAGACAGGCCTGGGTACCCCAGCCCCAGCTGTGCAGTCGGGCTCACCCAGGGTGACGACCATGACCGGGATGCTCAGGCGCTGCCTGGTGGCTTGTGACAGCCGCAGGAAGCCGTACTCCAACGAGTACTCCACGATGTACTCATCCTGGGGCCACACTGCGGGGACAGCTGGTCAGGCAGTCCACCCCACACCCACTCTCCTGGGTGGGGAAGGGCTTCAGCACCCACCCTGCCCACGGCCTCAGTGCGCACCTTTGGTGGGCGTCTCGGGGAAGGGGAACTCCTGGCTGTCGTTCCAGGCCTCAGAGCCACCTGGAGGCTTCAACACCTTGGGCTCAATGTCCAGCTCGAACTGCAGGCAACCAGGCACCAGAGCGTTAGCAGGTCCGGCTGGGGCATCTACCACCTCCAGGGCTGGGGGCTGATGACCCCTACCCTGACACCAAGCCTGCCCTGATGTGGTCCTCTCCAGGAGGGGTCCGACCTCTGAAGCTAGGGACAGGGCAGGACACAGGCAAAGCTGAACACTGCAGAGGTCACAGGGCACAGGCCCATCCAAGCCCCAAGCCCCAGCTGCTGAAGTGTGACAGCGGGGACGCACCCCACAGCAGCTGTGCCTTCAGTTTGGACTGAGCCCTGGCTCAGCCCCTGGCTGCTTGTAGCACCCCCAATTGGCTGCTGTCCCCACGTGACCACAGGGAAACCCTAGCACCCAGTGCCCCAGCCCTGCTTCCAATAGGGATGCAGGAAAGGTCACCAAGGGCTACAACAGCTGCAGCACGCAGAGGTCGTCTGTGCCAACCCCTCGAGGCCCAAGGGCCTCCCAGGCAGCCCCCACCCCCACCCCTGCAGTTGCGGGGTCTGCTGAGCCCTCCACAGGCAGCTCACCTTGACAGAGCTGTTCCTGAACATCTCCATGGTCAGCTCCTCCTCCTCCTCCTCCAGCTCCAGGCCACCTGGCTCCACAGCCAGGCCCGGGAAGCTCCCACGGCTGCCCTCACAGAACTGCAGGAAGACGGGCGCCCGGCTGGAGTTGTGGCGCACCTCCACACGCAGGATGCCCTCCCGTGGCCACTTGTCCCGCACGTGCTCCAGGCAGTTGATGGGTGAGCGGGAGAAGACGATGTGGATGTAGGCCAGCACGAACAGCACGAACAGGGCCTGGGGGGCGCCAGCCAGCCGTCAGCCGACGCCCGGCCATCCATGCCCCCAGCTGCCGGCCACCCCCAGGAAGTGGAGTGACTGAGGAGAACTCTCGGGGACATGTCCCAGGTCATGACCTGCCCCCCTAGCCCAGGAAAGGCTGAGGGGTCCTGGGGCATGGGTCCCCCAGGGGGTGAGAGGTGGGGCCCTCATGGCTGTGGCCACTGCACAGAGCAACCAGCACCACTGACCAACTTGCTCTCAACACTCAAGGCCCAGGCCATGTGTTGCAGCCCCCAGGCCACCTGCGGGGTCCAGGCGCCAGAACAGCTTAGCTCCCCAAGGCTGCACAGCTGTTTCCTGCCTCCCACTCTGCTGTGTCCTCAGAGCCCCTGATCTCACCAGCCAAAAATTGCCTCCCCTCCCTGTAAAGAGCCTTCTGCACCTCTCCCAGGTCCAGCAGCTTCGAGGACACAGGACACAGGTACGTTCGGACAAGGCCAGGTTGCTCTGCCTGGGAAACAGAGGAGCAACCTGGGCGGGGCGGGGCTCAGCGGTGGAGCGCTTGCCTCGCACATGTGAGGCCCTAGGTTCCATCCTCAGCACCGCATAGAAATAAACAAACAAAATAAAGGCACTGTGTCCATCTACAACTAAAAAATGTATATTAAAAAATTTTAAAACAATAGGAGCAGCCACCCTCATGGGGTGACTATCCCAGGGGTGACTGGTGGCTGCCGGGAGTGCTGCTTGGCACTCTGCAATGCCCAGGACAGAGCAGAGCATGACCTGGCCCAGGATGTCCAACGTACCAACGCTAAGTACTGACACCCATGGAAAAACACTTGAGGAGGGCCCGGTGCAGTGACGCACACCTGTTGATTCTAGAGGCTCAGGAGGCCCACGCAGGAGAATTACAAGTTTGAGGTCAGCCTCAGCAACTTAACAAGACCCCATCTCAAAAAAAAAAAAAAAAAAAAAAAAAGTCCACTTCCTGCTCTCAGTAGACACCAGGGTGGATTCCTGAGGAGGCAGAGGGTACAGAGCAGGGAGGGTCTGGACTGTCCCCTCTACCCTGCCCACTGAGTGGGTTTCCATGGGGGCAGCAGTGCAGGGACTCAACAGGTCCAATTTGAAGGTGCAGAGCCTTTTGCGGGGGTTCATGGGCTCTCCTGACCCAGGGGATACTGGGCAACATCTGGGGATATTTGTGGCTGTCACAACTGGTATGGAGTGGTAGAGGCCAAGGACACTGCTGCACATCCCAGTGTCCATGGCGCTGAGGGGAGAGCCCTGACACACAGGAGGCCCTCTTCCAGGGAGCTCCCCCAACACCTGACAGTTCTACTTACAGCACACTGCCAGCCTGGTTGCTGTGCCACAGCACCAACCCTGGCACCCTCTGCAGGGCCTGGTGAGAACCACTCAGCCCTGCCCCACTCCAGGTGCACAGGGCAGGGTTCTGCCAGTGGGGCCACGCAGGCTCCAACACCCCCCATGCCTAGGTATTGCCACACGAGCCCCAGATTCTCCAGGGGAGAGCTGACTGGACGAAACCACAGCCCACAGAGGCCCAGGTCATGGAAAGCTGAGGTGCAGGCTGTGGTGGCCTCCTGCTGCATACCGCCAAAGGCAGGACCTCTGCAGTCCCTGCAGACCGGACATAGGGCTGCCTCAGCACAGCACCCACAGTGGCTGGGACCCGAAAGGGTCACAATTGGAGAGTGAGGCTCCAGGAGCAAGCAAGCTGCATACCATCTCCTTCTGGGCCACCTGGGTACAGAGCTGCCATCACCTGCAGCCACAGGCACCATGGAGACAGGTCCAGCAGCTAAAGTGGACAGGAGCAGCCCTGCCCAGGGTTCTAGTACCTGGAACTGAGCCTGGTGCAGGCCTGGAGAGGGCAGTGAGGCAGCAGAGGTGGCCAAAGGAGCTGACCTGTTCCTCTGCTTAGCCTCCTGCACAGGAGGGGCCAGCCAGAGCTGAACCTTGGGGTCTACTTGGCCCTGGATGGGTCCCTGGCAGCCACACTCTGCTCTTCAGGCCCAAACGTGCACAGAAGCTCTGCCTGGGATGCCCTTCTAGCCACAGGACGCACTGGATGCTAGGCTGGCACGTGACAAAGGGCACTGACACAGCAAGCCCAGATCCAGGGCTCCCAACACTTCCCGTGAGACACACTTCTTGACACCCCCCTTACAGATGAGGAAACTGAGGCACAGAGGTCACAGACCTGCTGACGTCACAGGGCCAGTAGAAGCAGCTGGGAGCAGTCATGAGCCACACTACTGAGGACTCCACCTGACCTCTGACCATGAGCAGACGGGTGACCTCAGGAGGATCTCAGTCAGTGTGGGAGGCAGGGGCAGAGGACTGCTGGATGAAAGCCCTGCCACACCCCACACAGGTTCTAGTGACTAGCTCTCTGGGGATACAACCTGACAGTGAGGCTGGCATTTACACACAAATGTGCATGAACTCAGCCGAGTGCCTCCACGCCCCAAACGCTGTGACTCAGACATCACCCTGGTGCCCTCTCCTGCCACCCTTACAGGGGCCACACCCCCTGCCACCACCACTGCACACTGGCCAGCCCAGGGAGCTCCCAGCTTGAGCCCCAATGGCCTTCTTCACTGAGCAGAGCCAGGACTCTCCGTCCCACTTGCAAGTGCCTGCCTGCCATCCAGGCCTCCGCTTCTCCACTGCAGAGCAAAGAACAGGCAATGCCCAGCCAGACTGACCACACACCCCTGGGCCTGTCACCGGCCACCTCATCCCAGCCCTGCCCACCCTCTGCTCTACAGCCTGCCTCGGCCACCCCACCAGCAGCCTCCAGGCTCCCCGCCAGCACACCAGGGCCCTCCAGCCCTGCTTCCTGGACACCCTGCTCCTCACCTTGGGGAGATGCTCCAGCACTTCACCTGCAGACCCTGCCCACTGCATCTTCCCCTGCCCCTGGCTTTGCCCATCAGCACTGCCCCAGAGCCCTGGGTGAGGTTCAGAGACACACAGCGTGCCAAGGCTATGCAGAGACCTCCTCCAGGAAACCTTCTCAGTGCACACCCCCCAGGTTCTCAGGGAACCCCACACACTGCCACCAGGCAGGTCGTTCTCTGCTTGCCAGTCCACGTCTCTGTTGATCAAATGATAAGCCACAACTTCCTCCCCAGGAAGGGTGCAGAGAGACCCTCAGCCCCAGCCAGGAAAACCTTCAAGGGGTCCCTGCACTCCCTACTATTCAGGCCGCTTAGCATCCCAGGGGTACCGCCTTCTACGGTGACAGCCAATGGGACAGGTCTCCAATTCAGAGCTCTGTAGACGTGAACCTCTACAGTCCTCCTGATCCTCAGTGACCCTAAGGGGTAGCCTGTTACTCCCTTGACCACAGGGACAGTAACTGCCCACCCTGTGACAGGTACCACATGTCAGAACACCTTGACCCTATAGGCATCCACTCACTAGCTGTCGGGGTCAGGCTGCTGGGGCTAGAAGCCAACTGGACAGGCCCAGGCACCTGGTGCCTGCGGCTCCAGGTCTAACTGGTCTCTGCTTTTCTGGCTTTGGGGCCAGGAAACCAGCAGAGGTGGACGTTGAGGCCAGCAGAGTGACCTTCCAGGGGGCCCCACTGAACAATGGTCCAGTTGCCACCTCTACCCAGAGTCTGGCACTACAGGGCCATTTTGACAACAACCCCAGATTCAGGCACAGGGGACTAATGTCAGAGCACGGGCTGCACAGGTAGGCAGCCAGGTCCCCCTCCCCCTGCAGCAGTATGGGGAAGCAGGGCAGGCAGGGGCGCGGGAAGCAGAGGAGTGGAGCTTCCGGGAAGCTAGTGCAGCCTCAGGACCAGCTGCTCCCAGACAGGCTTTGCAAACAAGGTAGAAGTGTGGGTCTGGTCTGTCTCCACCAGGGCTCCCATAACCCAGCGTCCCTGGGCCCTCAGCTTCCAGCACTCTAACTAGGCAGGGCAAGGAAGACCTCCGGCTGTGGCCCAGCCCCACAGCCTACCTGCCACTGCCTGCAAAGGGTGCTGGGTCTTCAGGGACGGCCAAACAGACCCAGAAAGGGAAGGACAGAGCGGAGCCACCAGGCCCATGCTGACAGGGGACCAAGCACTGGACACACACCTGCAATGACGAGACTGCCACTCTATCGTGTCCAAGGAAAACACACACCTAAACACAGAGCCTGATAAAGGACCCCAGTTCAGTAGCCCTCCACAACCTGATTGTGGGGCTGTACCCACAAGACCAAGCCCTTCTGGGCGCTACAGGGAAGAAGGGGTGAAGGATGCCGGGTGGAGTGCCAGCCTGGGGAAGCCAGCTCTTCAGGCCTGGGCACACCAGCCCATCTGCAGACCAGAGACTGCAGGCTCTGGGGCACTCCCCTGAAGGCTGTGGCAGGGCCAGGTCCCAGGTCTGCCAGATGGCTGGGAACTGGCTCACAACCTCGCCCGCCCCATTTCAACAGACAGGAAGGAGAAGCTGGCTGGCTGAGCTACGTCAGTGTGCCCCACCACTTCTCCATTTCCCAGGACGAGCCAGAAACCTGGAACCAGGGGCATGGCTGGCTCCTTCACCAAAGGCTCCTTCCTAGAGGGCCCCAGGCTGCAGCCTGTCCTTCCCAAAGGCCCTCAGGTCTCCAGGTCACCCGAGGAACACAAGTGGTCACAGAAGGTGCCATCAGCCAGCCCAGAGCTCCCTAAGCAGGCCCGAGGAGTGGTGGCCATGACTTAGGCACTAACTCTAGCAGTGAACCCGGCCAAGTCCACACACTGCCCTGTGAAGCTGAGCAGAAGGTCCTAGAACAGGGAGACCCCATCAGGGGGAAGACACCAGTGGACGCCCAGCAGACTGTCCTCAGGGGAGACCCAGGACCTGCCAGGAGGGGTCCTAGGGCTGAGTATCCCAGATGCAAAGTCAGGGGTCAAAGGGCGGGGGAAAAGCCGCGGCTGGTCAGGGCGGGGCTCCAGGCCTGGGGCTGGGGGCGGCCAGGGCCGGCGACCACCACACTCGGCCTACTATGGCGGCCCCAGGGCACCACCGGCCGGCGACCGGGGTCAGAGGTCGCAGGCTGCAGAGTGAGGCCTCGGGGTGCAGAAGGGGGCCGGCGGGCAGCGGGGTCAAGGGTCGGGGTCGGGGGTCGAGGCCGGTCACCTTGAGCAGCACGAAGAACTCGAAGAGGCGGCGGAAGGCGGGCGGGAAGAGCCGCGAGTAGGTGACAGCCATCTTGAAGAAGAGCGCGTGGAAGAGCCGGTCGCGCACGTTGATGAGGGGGTTGG